CGCCGGACTATGCTTACTATAAAATGAGCTGTCGGTCCCCCGATGTACTTCCTTGTATACTTATGAGGTTTATATGTGTATTAGTTGAAACTTCCTATCAACTTTTCCTAGAGTTACTAATTACAATTAGTAACTATATGGAATTCCAAAGGAGTCAGTTCGTGACCCAAGTACCACACTTAACACTAGGCCAGCTAGTCGACACTCAATTAGTAACCAGAGAGAACCGGCTACAGCGTACGCAGGTGGCCTTTTCTTACGGCAACCACCTACTATGCTTTCACCAGTTACTAGTTAACTAATAGAATGTGTAAGACGAACTGCCCCAGATGAAAATTTGCAGCACCTATAGATCTCGATTGACTTATTTATTTTCTTTTGATTCTTCTTATACCTAAAAATTATTTCAAAGAACCGCTACGATGCCGGACTGGTCGTCCTATCACCCTAACGGAGGCTGAAAGCCCCGGCTACGGCCGCGGATGGCTCTTACAATACCATCCACCTAGCCTTCACCGTGACCAGCAGAATCTCCGAAACAGTAGACGGGAGCACCCAACCAACACAATAACAGCTCTATGAGCCCTAACGGTTTTCAGAAAAACCGTTAAAGTTGAACAATGGGAATAGAACAATGAACAATGGTCCTATTGTTCTATTGTTGTCGCTTCTTATCGCCCGTCTATTGTTTTCTTATCTCCGGCGTAACGTCCGTCCAAGCGGTCAGCTATTCGACGATGCCTATGGCTGTCAACTGACCCTGCGCTATAGGAACGAACGGGTACCTAAAAACGAGAAAACAACCGTTCACTGTGGATTCACGATGCAAACTAAAGCTCACTGTAATTTTCACTGCCTAAGTATACTTTTTCTTTGTAAAAATAATATATCTTTAATATTTACACAAATATGTGTGGCATATGTGGCGCCCTCTATCAGTTACATTGAAGTATATCGATGGTGAAAGTTCCCAACCTCCTATGTCAATTTTTGACAATTTTGTTTTTTTAACTTAAATTAAAGATAGATAATATGTATTTTACTGTTTACAAGCTCCTATGTCGTTATTTCATTAATTGGCCTCTAGATGGCAGCAATATCCAGGATCTCCCATGTCACATGACTCGTTTTATACTTCTCCAAACTCTTATGTCAGTCCACCACGGACATTGGAGTTTGAGTCCGGCTTTTTTCACCTAACCTAAAATATTACTATTAGCTTTCATGTCAACAGATTCAATGTGCATTCAACACCGTGAATTTATTTCGTTTCGTGAATTTAAATCTTTGTTTGCTTTTATTATATCTACTTTTTATAGTATTCATATTTATAATAAACAGTTGTATAGTTTTCGTATAGTGTGCGTATCATAAACAATTTATAAAGTGCCAAACACGATGTCTAGAGTTTTAGGTGTTGGGTTTACATCAAGAGGCCATGTGTTGGTAAATCTTGCTCTCAATATTCAAGTTAATAACGATGATTGCCTAGGAAGTTTAAACAATCTTGGTAAGTTTAGATATTTTATAATATGATTACTAATAAATCTGGGTATTAGTGGTGTTGTTTGTCCGTTTTTTTAATTGTAAAATACCTAAATTATTGATTTGTAATTTTAGACTCAGTGGAGTTACATACCGTTGTAGATTCTTGTAATCAGGAGAAACTCGATCTTAATTGTATTAACAGTAGTCAAATAAATAATTACACAGTAGAAAATTGCCATGAAAATTCAGATTATCCATGTTCTGAGATAAACATCCTGGAATTAGCTGATAATGATACACAAACTTCAGTTATTTTGGGTATGCAATTCTAAATGATTTTCAGGCCGTAAACTTTTGTTAATCCAATTTTATTTTATTTTTTAGAATCAGTAGGCAACACATTACCATCCAGCAAAGTTTCTAGTAACACATTGCTATCCAGTGAAGTTCCTAGTAACATATTACTATCCAGCGAAGTTCCCATTCCGTTAAAAAACAATGCTATCATAATTGAAAAAACGAGGACGATAGTAAAAATTAAAATGCATTTACCATAAATTATGTGGTAAATGAAAACTCTGAATTAGAATTAGTCAATGACAAAGAAAGTGATCCTGAATTGTCTCCCAACATTACTAACTGCAGCAAAAACACTTTTAATAAAGAGGAATTGCCTGGTACTTGTGTTGCAACTGTTATAGATACACCGGGTGATGAATATACTACAAGAAAGAGGAATTGTAAAGCAGAACCTACAAAGTGGAAAAAAACATAAAGATAAAGCTTAGAAGATAAGGTAAAATTAATGAATATAAAGATAAAAGAAAAGAAACAATAAATAAAGGAATCGCTAAAGTTGTTAAACCTAAAGAAACAAAGATTGGCCCCGTTGTACCAAAAAAACTGTATCAGATCAAATTTTTAAACACTTTTGGGAATTTTTGTCTTGGGATGAACGAAAAACCTTTGTTTCGTCCTTAGTAGACTGTAAAAAACCTGTCCAAAAACGAAGACCAACGTCTGGAGATAGACGAGAGAATAGTTTTCATTATTACCTAAAAATATATAATGAACGAAAAGAAGTATGTAAGGAAATGTTTTGCAACACCATATCCATAAATAGTTGGTCTTGCCAGAACTGGGCGAAAAACGGAGAACATGGGATCAGATCTGATAAAGATATTAATGGTGGACCTTCCACTTCTGGTGATGGTTCAAAAAGAAAAAACTAACGTAGAAAAAACCGCAAAATCAAAGTTTGCCGTTGAACATATCGACTCATTACCTAAGCTTGAATCCCACTACTGTCGAAAGGACAGCAGTAAGCTTTACCTAGAACCAACAATTTCTTCTTTTGAACAGTTGCATAGGTTGAACTTAGAAAAATGTAAGGAAACAGGACAAGAAGGACTATCCAGAACCAGTTTCAGAGAACTTATTGTTTCAAAAAGTATTTCACTATTTACACCTAAAAAGAATCAGTGTGATACTTGTTGTCAGCATAGCGTTGGTAATTTGTCTGATGAAGATTATGCGTCACATATCAAGGAGAAACAAATGGCTCGGTAGAAAAGAGAGGGACAACGAAAAAGGAGTAGGTGCAAAACAAGTGCAAAATCCTTTGCCTTGGCATGTAGGCAGTAAAGCTGTCACCTTGCCTAAAATCATCTGCATTAAAACAAAGCTTTGTTGCCACAATTATACGGTGTTTAATATGACAACATTAGATGTTATGTGCTACTGGTGGGACGAAAGTGAAGGCGAGCTGAAATCGTCAAATTTTGTTAGCTGCTTGATAAACTATTTAGAGGAGTTAATGTAAGCTAGTCTCCTAGAGTAGATCGTAAAATAATTATTTGGAGCGATAGCTGCATCTACCAAAATAAAAATAAAATCCTCAGTAATGCTCTCCTGCAATTTGCAGTTTTGAATAATGTCACAATACTTCAAAAATGCCTAGTTCATGGGCACACTCAGATGGAGTGTTACTCAGTCCATGCAACTATTTAAAAGAAATTAAAAAATAGAAATGTCTATTTACCCCACGAATACCTAGCAGTTACTAAGGAAGCTCGACTGAAACCTTTTCTTTACAGGACTAAATATCTCACTTACGATTTTTTTAAAGATTTTTCTAGGCAGAATTATGAAAGGTAATAAAATAACTACAGAAGTATGCACCTACTAATATTGTTTCAATTTTACTGTTATTGAATAATCCTGACTTTCCGTCCAGGTACGAAGACCACAGATCCAACAGTACACCAAATGTGTGCCATTAAGTACACTCTAGAAGGAAGACTGTATTATAAACTAGGCTTTATGGACAGCGCGTTTACGGAGCTAAAACGTCGTGCCAAATAATATCTAACGACCCATATCCACGAATGTATAAGGAAAAATAAATGAATCAAAATTCAAACATTTTCAGCAGCTTAAAAGTGTTATATCTCTTGCGGCTCATTATTTTTATATTATCTTACCACGTTAAACTATGTTTTTATTAATTTGAAATCTTTAATCATTTATGGGTACTATACGAACTGAAAAATAAAGTAAAATGCGAGTTTGTTGTTTCTTTTGCCACCACCTATGTCATTAATTTTATGAATACTAATAGGTACCCAAACTCCTATGTCAATTTATGATTATATTATTTTTTATATACTTATCAAAGATTTTTTTATTAAATTAAAGTAAACCAATTTCCTAAAACGGATTAATGAAAAAAATTATAATAATTTGCAAAACTTATGTAAAATACAGTTTTTATGCTCTCCTGTAAAGTTGGGTATTTTGACATAGAAGGTTGTGATCTTTCACCATCGATATATAAAATTATAATTTATCCTACTCAAAAGCATCGAATTGTAAATGTTTGTCTATAAATTTTTACAAACGTAAAAGTTAAAGCGAAAAATAAAATTTTAAATTTCCACTTAACACCCTGTATATTTCTTAATATCAACATTTTATTAAAGTAAGTTGGCTTAAATCGTTGTAAAGTGCAGAATCTACGGTTTCTCTTTGTACAATTACTTAAGGACCACCCTGTATATAAAGGTATATATTGGATTTGAAGTTTCCGCGGGAGCTATATGTTATTTCTGTGATTTTCTGGGTTTGATTCGGCGTTAAAGTTGTTTTGGTTTTTAAAAAAAAACATTGTTTTGACAAATTTTCAACGTTACACTTGTGATATACTATTATATTAATAACCTATCTTTTTTATACCTTTTAAAATGCTCTACTGTAAATATTAATTACAATATATTTTTTTATTTCTTTATTCATTTCCATTTCGCATCATAATATTAATTTAAATTAAAAAATATTTACCTTCATGGGATTCGAACCCGAGTCCACTTAATGCCGAGAAAGAATACTGGCCCTTTACCCACCGAGACTTTTCAAATTTCATTTTCCAGGCATCAAAAACAATTATTAAACAATTGAAAATCGGTAGGTATGTCAAACATAACCTATTGACACTTTTAAAGTCAATTTCAATTTGAGAGTTAATCTTGAAAAGGACATAAAATTAATTGTTTGAATTATTAAAAGTTATAAAAGCGATAATGGATTTAGATCCCGTCGATATATGTCCAAAACCGGCAGTATACCGAAGAAGCAATAGTCGTGAATACCATTTATGTAAGTAATATACATTTTTCAGAAAAACAAGATAAAAAAAACAATTCTGTTTTAAAATTTAAATAATATTTTAAAGTGAGGAATAATGTAATAAAATACCTCATAAACAAAATTATTAAAGTTAGTAAATCATATACCTATAGAGGTAATATACCAATATTTTAACATGTTTATATGGAATCTACATAAATATATATGAGTACATCACGTATAAAATTCGCAGACTTTTTTCATTTTCATAGTTTTCAAAAGTAAACTAATCTGCAAGTTTTCAATCAACAAATGCAAACACTTTTTTTAAACAGGTGTTCGATTACACAATGGACATTGTTGTCTGTTCTGTTTGTATACTAATACAATATGTGATAGTCATAGCTTTGGTCATACATTAAAAGGAATAATCTGATACAGATACCATTGTACAACGTTAAATATTCCATGACCTAATTTTTGTGAAACAAGAGTGCATAAATAATTATGTTTATTTACATTCCGTTAAAATTTAAATCATTATAATATGACAATCTCGTAATTTTGTTCTTAGTCCAGTTACTGAGGGTTTTTACCTCCGAATTCTTTATTACTGAATCGATTCATTTGAAATTTTGTGTGTTGGTAAATAATTACTCAAGGAACAAAAGTTATATAGTGCCTATGTGCGCTTCCACCCTGGGGGTGTTTGCCACCCTTTTCGAGGGTGGAAATTTTTAGACTCAAAATAACCACGCTGTTCGATAGAAGACAAATTTCAAACAAAAAATTAGGTACCTAAACATTTTTTTCGCTAGATCAATACTTTTTGAGTTATTCGCTGTTGAAGTGTCATTTTTCGTAAAAAAAAAACGTGTTTTTCAAAGGTTTTTTAAGAATAGCTCTGAAACTAACAGTTTTATCAAAAAAGTGTAACAACTAAAATTAAAGCTCATAAAAAAACAAAAAGTTTGGCTTTCTAATGAATATTTTCAGTTCAATATTAACTGAGTTATGGCTGTTCAAAGAAGGTTTGTTTTTGTTTTTGTTTTTCAATACGAGTAATAACGAAAAACGGGTACATTTTTCGACAAAAACTCATATAATATTTTTAAAATAGTTTGAAAAGACCTTTAAAATGAGTGGTGATAAAAGTCATTTGCACAAACTGTACGTGAGATACGATCAAAAAAAACGATGAGTTTCTCAAATTTTTGTAAAAAAAAACGCAATAAAACGAACGTCATGTTCACTAGGATTGAAATAAATTGTTGTCCTTGTAGAATTCACTTAATTTTAGTGTTTTTTGTATGATCCAAGAGTTTAGCCACTTTAAAATACCCAGTTTTTGAAAAAAGTATGATTACATTTTTTTTTTGTAAATATTAAAAAAAAAAATTTTTATAATAACTTCAAAACGATAAAAGATACGTAAAAGATGACACAACACAAAAAATAGGTTTTTTTTCAACAAATTTTTAATTTTTTTAATTTTTTTTGTAGCTTAAAAAATAACGGAGATATAGTTGGTTGAAGTTTGCTTTATAGCGCATGAACCACTGGTCTCCGACCCTTTGAACCTTCACCTTTAAATATGAAAGACTTTACAATGTTTTAACATTCCTATACTCATAGCCCGTTAAATTACCTGTAAAATCGGTTTTTATGCATGTTGTAGAATCAAAATTAACCGAGTTATTGTAAAAAAACCAATAGTACTTTTTAGAATAAATTTTGGAGCATGGAAAAATTTTATAATTTTATTTTTAGTTTTGTGGAAAATAAAAAAGTTGTAATATATTATAAACTAAATTTTTTCTATTTATGTCCATGTCTAAGTTAAGGATTTAAGGATTATATTTTCATCAAAAGGGGTGCTTGTAAGGCTTGAAAAAAGTAGGCTTATTTTATAAATAAAAAATTAATTTTCGTCTACAAACAATGTACTCTAAACATGTTTCAAATCGTTAAAATATTTTTTAATTCATTTTTGACAAAGGGGGTGGTTGTGAGGGTTGAAATGTTGAAATTATAATAAAATGATATTTTATAAGCAAAAAATTAATTTTTGTATAATAAAATGCACTCAAAAATGTTTCAGACCAATAAAAATATATTAAATTAATTTTTTAAAAAAGGGATTGGTTGTGAGGGTTGAAATGTTGAAATTATAATAAAAAGTTATTTTATATGCAAAAAAATAATTTTCATTAAATAATATGCACTCAAGCAATATTTCAAACCAATAAAAATATTTTTTAATTCATTTTTAATTCATTTTTGTCATAAGGGTTGAAAATTTCCAATAAATAAAATATTATTGTATAGCTGGGGTATTAATGTTATTCGTATTTAAATACATAATTGAAATGTCTCAAGCTGCTACGACTTTTTTTTCATATTATTTTATAAACAGTATTAGCTTTTAAGGGTTTTTAAAGGGTTTTAAGGGTTGAAAATTGTGAATAATTAATTGTCATATTAGAGAACACATTACAATATTTACCTGATGCGAATAAACAAGATTTAAGTGCATAAAATAATTAAATCCGTGTTTTCCCAGTTTCTTCAATAAGGGGTAGTTTTCACCCCTTAAAAACAAAAAGCGCGCCTAGAGCGTATATAACTTTTAAAGTGGCGGGTAAGATAAGCTTAATTTGAAATTTTCAAAGAAATCGATGCAGTTATAAAAAATTCGGAGGTATTACCATATTTTAAGCCTTAGTAACTGGAGTATCTGTATGTTAGATAGTCGTAACTACGCCACATCGACTTTATAGAAAGAAATAGGTTTTAAATAAGGAGCGACATTAGATCTCTCTAATAGACATCTCTCGGCCTAGGGGAGAGAAACGATAGAGGTGATAGACTTATATGCTTCTGCCAGGAATATAACCTGCTGTTAAGTTCAAGCACACTCTTCAAGCTCCCCAAACGTCGACTTTACACATGGAAATCCCCCGCTGACTCACCTCACAACATCATTAGAAATCAGATAGATTATATAGCAGTACCAACAAGATATAAAAACATGATAAAATCGTCAAAAACGTATCCAGGTGCCGATGTTCCTACGGACCACAATTTGTTGGTATGCAGAATGGTCATGAGAGTAAAACGGCTCGAGAAAAGATCTAATTTAAACACAATCGATATTAAAAACCTCAATAACCCAGAAACCGAAATAAAAGTACGAGAACAACTAGGAAAGAAAATAAAGGACATTAACGAGAACACGTCGGACATAATAGAGAGATGGGATAAATCGAGGGAATGATAAAGAATTCTCAATACGTATTATAAACACACATCATACGACATAATTTGAAGTTGATATTGACCTCGACCTTGTACTGCTCACGACTGACTACACGATCCAAAAATCAAACAAGTTTGATCCCATGCTCATCATTATTTCTATTCGTGAAAAAAATTGACTCTTCATATTTCACGAGTGTAATAGTTTACACAGAACATAGCTTACGAAAGGCTGGCGTTCGTGATTCCCTACCCATGTCAATGCAGCTTAAACCTTTTCACACTACGACCTGGAATACCTTTTGTTTATACTGATTAACTTTTGTTACCTACTCAATTCGTTTTAGATGTACATTTGTTACCTGATCAGGTTGTAAAGAGACCTGTCTCAGGTATTTATGACGTTGGCGAACAAATACCCTGCAATTGCAGACAATATGTTCTACCATTTCCTCTGAATCTTCAGATGTAGATCTGTCCTCTTTGACCATCTTAGAGAAATGATATTTAAGTGAACAGTCCAATAAAAATATTTGTAATTATTGCAAGTTAAGTGGTTATAGAGTTACGTTACGTTATCAGAGTTACGCAACGAGCCATGGAACGTGCAATGCTGAACGTGAGCCTTCGAGACCACATAACAAACCAACAAATCAGGCAAAGATCAGGAGTTCAAGACGTCATCGAAAGAACCACGTCGCTTAAGTGGAACTGGGCAGGGCACTTAGCCAGAGCACAAGATGGACGGTGGACAAGACGTATTATGGAATGGAGGCCCAGAAACTATAAAAGAAGCCGAGGACGTCCACCGACTAGATGGACCGATGATATAAAACGTGTAGTGGGAAACTGGCTACAAGTGGCTCAGTGTAGAGAACACTGGAAAGAACTGAGGGAGGCCTATGTCCAGCAGTGGACGCGATTGGCTGATTGATGATGAAGTGGTTATATGAAGCACTAAGAGTATTTTTGTATAGCGAACAAATGGTTCTTATAATATTTTATTTAACTTTGAAAAAGCAAAATGTTCGGACATATTTCGCGATGCGACTCCTTAAGACTCCTTAGAAATAAAAGGAGTGTCAATCCCTTCTTTAGTAAGACTATCAGCAATTTAATTACTAGCAATTCCTTTTTACACTGGCACGCACACCAAACATAGTTTTTTGTGCTTCGTCAGTTGCTTAAGGGACTATTTGTAATTCCAAGCTGCTAGGCACTCACAAGTTATAGACCTCAAAATCTTTTGGAGGCAGTTTGGCTGTCAAAACCAATACATAATATATTGATCAAATTGGCTCGTTTTAAAATTATTCTTTATAGCACAGAAATATACTGCTAAGAAGTCTGCTTAAAATATAAAAGTATTTTAAAGTACTATTATATATTAGTCTAAGTATAGTATTTTGTGTTAACTCTCAGTCGTTTATCTCTGCGCGTCTAAAATAATTATGGGTCTGACTATATGAGTCTGGGTTATATAGGAACAATAGACCATTCTAGATGCTTACCTCTTCCCAGAATGATACTGTTATTCCATTCATGGTCGGGTGTTAAATTATTAATTTCGTCGTAGTAGTGAATGAACCAAGTATCATTGGATTAAGATTTACTGAAAACCCGTCTTTCGAGCTTTAAGTAGTTACTAGACTTAAGGCAACTTGCATACGATCAGCAATAATAGTGTCATGTTCAACGTAAACCCTGTAGTCTATCATACGCAATACCTTTTGTTTATCATTTAGCTCCTAATGAAAAATTGATTTCTTCTATAGTTCAAATAAAAGTGACTACAATATTGATACAGATGTTAAAGAATTTTGATTTCAAAAATGTGAGGATGATTCAACAACTACACTGCTACAACAACTATTGCTATATAACATATATACAGAAAATATTTTTAAATTAAATATTTATAAATAATCTATGACATATTCGTCATACAGCTATCATAGCAGACAAGTATCATAGCTATCATAGTAGGAAAGGAGTACAGTGTTAACATTAATTTTGCTAAAAAGCGAGTTAATTCTTTCGTAAAAAAATCTTGTTTTGCAAAAAAGTATTCCCGTTATACGATTTTACTAATCAATAGATGAGTATTGATTCTCTTTTAAAAAAAATAGTATAAGGGCTACTGGTACCCTGAGGATGTTAATTATGACCTAAATATGTAATGTTAATAGGTCAACAGCCGTGATTTTCTCCTTCACTTAAAAGTTTGTTAGTTTTCACGATAAGGAACCTGCAAAAAAAGTGATAATGGCAGGTCGTGAAAACAAAATTTTACTTTGGAAAAATTGCGGAAAATTGGAAAAAAATCGATTTTCAGAAAAACTTACCCTGGTTCAACTTTAAATTTACTTTTTTTTAATAGGTAAAAGAAATAATAAATAAGACTTACACACAATCAGTTTAATTTAATTATCTAGACGACCGGTTTCGCTTTCTACATTATGCAAAGCATCTTCAGGTCTTGATACAAAGTTAATTAAATCCTGAAATAATAAAACCCAGATTAGGGTGTTGTCGTATAAAGATAAACAAAGATAAATGATATATTACAGTAATTATGCCAATATTACATGTCTGTGATTTTCAAAATAAATAAAATGTTTAAGCAGACGAGGTAAGACCCACAAATTGGTATAAAATAGTCTATTGAATTGTAATAAATTAGTAAATAAATAAAACATTACTTACATGCCGGTACTCTATTAATTAATGGTTGGAAGAACATGGTTTAAACTATCCTGTACTGTTGAATGGAGTTTTGCTATTGTAATTGGTTGACAATAAACAGGGAAGTTCATGAGGAGATAGATTTTATCCAATGATGTAGAGATAGGTGTAATGTGATTGTTTGTTAGATGAGAGTGATGTTCTATATTATTGAATTATTTAAAAGTTATTTATATTTATTCAAGAGATATATTTATGAAATGTGTGTTATTTATTGAGATTTTATGTTCATAAAATATATATTCATGTTTTATATATCATTATATATTATAAAGTAGAGATAGGTGTAATGTGATTGTTTCTTAGATGAGAGTGATGTTCTATATTATTGAATTATTTAAAAGGTATTTATATTCATTCAAGAGATATATTTATGAAATGTGTGTTATTTATTGAGATTTTTTGTTCATAAAATCTATATTCATGTTTTATATTCATAAAATCTCAATAAATAAGACACGTTTCATAAATATATCTCTTGAATGAATATAAATACCTTTTAAATAATTCAATAATATAGAACATCACTCTCATCTAAGAAACAATCACATTACACCTATCTCTACTTTATTGGATAAAACCTATCTCCTCAAGAACTTCCCTGTTTAGTATCAAACAATTACAACAGCAAAACTTAAGCTCTCCATTCAACAATACAGGATAGTTTTAACCATGTTCTTCCAATCAATAATTAATGGAGTACCGGCATGTAAGTAATGTTTTATTTATTTACTAATTTATTACAATTCAATAGACTATTTTATACCAATTTGTGGGTCTTACCTTGTCTGCTTAAACAGTTTATTCATTTTGAAAAACCACAGACATGTAATATTGGCATAATTACTGTAATATATCATTTATCTTTGTTTATCTTTATAAGACAACACATTAACATGGGTTTTATTATTTCAGCATTTAATTAACTTTTTATCGAGACCTGAAGATGCTTTGCATATTATAGAAAGTGAAACCGGTCGTCTAGATAGTTAAATTAAACTGATTGTGAGTAAGTCTTATTTATTATTTCTTTTATCTATTTGAAATGGACTCACACAAGCAACACATTCATGATTTACTTTTTTTTTGCTTATCTGATATGACATTTTCAATACATAGAAAGGCATAAAGGATACCGTCGTGGTTGAACTTTGTATTGGATCCAAAGGTCCATAAAAGATAAAATTTATATTAATTCTTTATTTATTTTTTTTAGGTTTTTGGGCTACTTTTATTACTACAATACTTACAATATTATTTTTCCTTACTGGAGTTTACTGTAAGTTGTTTTCATTTATTTTGTAAGTTTTATATACCTAAATTTATTATTATAACACAATTATTTTAGACGACGTAGTATCCTTTAAGGATTTTATTGAAACTGGAGCAACTTATACTGAACTGAGAAGTATTAGATACGAACTGAAATACTTAAAAAATAAATTGAACAAAATTGAAATTAACCGGTAAGTCATATATATTTTTTACACTAAATAATAATGCAGTTCACTATTTTTATTGAGAATAAACCACAATTTTACTTCAAAATAAGTTTTTATGTCGTTTCTATTTCCACTTTGGAAATCATTCGCAAAATACAAAACATTAATAAATTAGACAAATTTTGTTTATCGTTATTTGGTGAAAAATTCTTCTTATAATTTAATTTTATCTGACTCATTCATATTGACAATTCAGATATATATTATATATTTAAAGTAGATGGCTTTAAAATGATATTGTCAATATTTTTGGGTTGCGCTCCTGGGACGATTTTATTGGAAAAAAACTTGGACTTAAAATGCTACCGGTTTATAGAATTCTGGAATTGCTATCATGCATAAATAGAAGATCATAAGAAGCCCATTGTAATGATTGATTTATAAAAGATGGTTTTCGAAAGAAAAAAAATTTGGATTTTGAGGAGTTCCTAATGTTTTCAATACCTATCTGAGTTGACATTTGAATCCTTACATTTATGTACAAAAAAAAAACAGATAAAACATAAAACCCCCTCAGACAGTTATACCTCGCAGTAGTGGAGAGATTACTAGTTCAACCTTAACTGTGGTTACTAATTATGTAAGATAAATACGAACAAGTGAGAAGATACGCTAATGACACCGTAGTATTAGCAGAAACAGAAGACCAACTAAAAATATTGATGAACATATTATCAGAAGAAAGTCATGGACTTCTTCTTCTTCATGTACCATGTCCTTTCAGAACGTTGGTTACCATCATAGCTATTTTAATTTTATTCACTGCCACCCTAAATAGCATGCTTGTATCTACACCATACCAGTCTCGAAAGTTCTTCAACCATGAGGTTCTTCTTCGTCCTGGACTGCGTTTGCCTGCTATTTTTCCTTGCATGATGTTTTGTAGCAATCTATATTTGGGACCTCTCATTACATGTCCGAAATATTCCAGCTTTCTCTGCTTGATGCTTTTTATGATCTCAGTAGTCTTGCTGAGACGTTCTAGTATTGTGGAGTTACGAATCTTCTCCACCCAGGAAACTTTTAAAATTCTTCTATAGCACCACATTTTGAAAGCCTCAAGGCGATTTAGATCGATTTTATTCACAGTCCAGGACTCGACAGCATAAAGTAAGACCGAGAACACGTAGCAGCGAAGTAGGCAGATCCTTAATGGCAATTTTAGGTCTCTGTTACATAACACCGTGGACATCCTTCTAAAAGCAGCTCTAGCCTGCTCTATTCTGGATCTAATTTCGCCGTGATTTTCTGCATTACAATTTAATTGCTGTCCAAGGTAGACGATTTTATCAACTTGCTCAAGTTTGATATTATTTACATATATAGACGGTTTTATATTCTGTTGTTTACTTATTACGAGTATTTTGGTTTTCCTTATGTTAAGATCCAGACCTGCCTCCCTACAACTCTCAACGACACTATCAAGTAGTGTTTGCAGATCTTCTTGACTAGAAGCTAGGAGTACTGTATCGTCCGCATATCGCAAATTATTGATGACTTCGCCGTTCACAAGTATTCCTTCTTGTTTTTCAGAAAGTGCTTTTCTGAAAATTCTTTCGGAGTAAACGTTAAAAAGCAGGGGTGATAAGAGGCATCCCTGCCGTACTCCTCTTTTAATATTGAGAGCTTGTGATTCCACACCATCTACTAAAACTGATGTTGTTTGATTCCAATATAAATTTGCAATTATTCGAACATCTCTGCCGTCCAAGCCAATGTCTTTTAGAGCTTCGATCAATATAGAGGGCTTAACACGATCAAATGCCTTTTGAAAGTCAATAAAACAACAGTATATGTCTACAGATATATCACGACATCTTTGAGCAAGTACGTTCATTCCAAACAGTGCCTCTCTCGTTCCAAATCCGTTACGGAAACCAAACTGAGTGTCATTCAGGTATTCCTCACATTTATTGTAGATACGACCATGTATTACCTTCAGTCATGGACTATGCTTAGTAATTAACATTTCCAAAACCAAAATTCTGGTTTTCCACAAAAACCACCATGAACAAGTTACACCTAACATACAAATAAATAGTATCACCCTTCAGAGTTCCCAAAGCTTCATATACCTGGGCAGAGAGCTAAATAGTCAACTAGACCACTGAAAGGAAATTAAATTCATTTGAAATGTGGATGTACCGCCGAATGTTAAGAATAAGCTGGACCAGCAGAACTACGAATGAAGAAGTACTGAAAGTAATAAATATACGCCCTCTGGTCAATACTATCAAAATTAGAAAGACGTCATATCTAGGACACATAATGCGCCATAGAGAATTTGAGCAGCTCCATGTAATATTAGAAGGCAAGATTGGAGGTAAAATGGGCATAGGACGAAAGAAAAAATCTTGGCTACGAAATATCAGAGATTGGACCCACACAAGAGGAAATGAATTAATTCATCAAGCCCAGAACAGAGAAAATTTTGCCATATTGACCGCCAACCTCAACAGAGAAGTCACTTAGCAGGAGAAAGAAGTGGGAGGTAGGTAGAGAGAACAAGAGTAAATCCTGAGTATTAGGTGACACCCAGGTTTTATTAGCATTTTTCCGGTATGTGGAAAAGTGACCATCCATTCGCTAGCTTCTGGTGGGACAAGAATGGAGCAGGAACAAGCCAACAAAGCAGCCACAGCCATCCGGAAACTATGGAATTGGATCTTGTTACAGGTCATACTTCTGAATATAAACAAGATATACTCAAAAGTCACTAGTAAAAAAAAAACGATACTTAAAGAAGTTTAAGTAGCTATTTAAGTAAGGTCCCGACTCAAAGGACGTTCGGCAGCATGCGGTAAAATCTATTTGAAAGCCTCATAGGAGTACGGTATACAGAAAATATTTTTTGGGTCTGTGTTTTATTTATGAGCATTTGATTGTGAAGAAAAAGTTTATTATCTATAATAACTATAATAATGAGGTACAACGTAGCTGTTTACAATCTATTTTTAAAACTAAAAATATAAACTAGAAGTAAATAAAATCTTGAATATGTTGCCTATGTGAGTCCATTTCAAATAAAAAAAGAAATAAGAATGAGATTTCCTCACAGTCAATTTATTCTATCACCAACGACCGGTTTCGCATACTATAATTTGCTATGCATCTTCAGGCCAACGGTACATGGTAAACTAAATGCTGAAAATATAAAAAAACCGTATTAGGGTGCTGTCTAATACAAAATGTATAGCAATTATGCAAATATTATATGTATTCAATTTATTAAATATAAATTTAACACATTGCACGCTAATTACGCCTATGAGCGTCAAGATATCGCTTTAGTCATAAGCGGATGACGCACATGTGAGTTTTTAAGATACCCATGATTCTATGACTTCCAAGATAAAACCACTTCGCAATCGAACTTTGTACGTCGATGCGCATGACGTCTCTTGGTGATAAAAGTTTATCTTAATTTAATATTCTGAAATATATTTTATCTAAAAGTGCACACATTTATTTGTCAACGTACTAGATAAACGATAAAACAATACTAAATCTGACAAAACTCCATGCAAAACAGAATATTTCTGGTGACATTAATCGCCAAGTGACGTCACACGTGCAAAAGAGATAGACTGATCGCGTGCGCGTGGGTTTATCTTTAAAAGTTCATAGTATCATGTAAGATACCTATGTTTTGTATTGTCTACCATAAATACCCTTGTGTATAAAAGTTTACTTTTTGGAAGAGTTATTAGAAAAGATAATGCTGATTATCACAGTCAACAACCGAAATCCGTATATATCTATTACAATTCTATTATTTTATTTATTTATTAAAACCGTATTTATTACAGAATTCCGTACCTACATAATAGGTTACCGTGCTTTTTAATTGTCAAAATATCAAACTTTTGACGTTTGTTAAAATAAATAAAAATAATAATTCACATTATAAAAGATTAAAATATTAGAATACTGATTAAATATAATATAATATATTAAATAATACTTCATCTAGTGAAGATGAATTCAGTGAATCCAATAATAGTGTAGTTCTGTCAGATGAAGACAGAGGTATGTATGTTTATTGTAAAGTACAGATATGATTCCAATACGATATTGGAGAAATGAATTCAAAATTATATGATAACTTCATTTGTATACATGTTTTGAAATGTTTATTTCTAATATCAACTCTTTAGAATACTAACAACAGAATTATTTTGCATTAGACTTTTTTGTACAATTGCTTTATTTCCTTTTTTATATTGAAGAAAAAAATGATTATTCTGGATTGGTTGAAGCGTTACATGGAAATGCAGGTTGGAATAAAAATATACAGGAGGAGCCAAATCTACGTGAGGATTCGTGGAGAGACGATCCTATTTTAATTTTACCAAATCTTCTGGGTTATTAGTAGATGTTCCAGGGTCTGATCTTCCATATGATTTTTTTTGTAAAAGATATATTTGTTGAGATGATGCTGCAAAAAACAAATGTTTATGCCGAATCGTTATTTTTATCCGGTGTTGCAGAACATTCACGTATAAATAAATGGAAGCCTGTGTCTGTTAACGAACTTAAAACATTTTTTTGAACTTACATTGCATATGGGAACATGGAAAACCAATAGAATTCAGGACTACTGGAATACCGATCCTCTTTTTCAATTGAAATGTTTCCATAATAATATGAGCCGAGATCGTTACTTGCTTATTTTGAGATGTCTACGTTTTGCCAGAAATCCAGAAGAGGGTGTAATAGAAGATAAACTCTATAAAATTAAACCAATTTTAAATTACTTCAATAGTATATTGTCTAAAAAATATCAAACAGGAAAATATCTATCCCTTGATGAAAGTATGGTATTGTGGCATGGTAGATTAATACGGACTTAAATTGTAGCGCTTTTTGAATGAAATTATATACAGGACGTTATGACTCTGCAGGTGGAAAAGGCCATTCTGAAAAAATAGTTTTAGAACTAATGCGAGATAAACTTAACATTG